AAAATTAGAGATGTTTCTCTGAAAATTGCAGAAAGGGTAAAAATTTTACAATTTTTGTTCAAGCCTCATTATTTTTTCTTATTTCGATTGCTAAATATACATTTTTAGATCGTAAAAATTCACTCCTTGACATGTTTATCAACTAATATATCAGAAGTCCGATAAATGAGGCCGAGTGCCTCAGTGGAACTTTGGAACTACTTTTAATTCTTACAAAGACATGGAAGAATTGGGCTGAATCATTATTTTCACTATCATTCTTTTTCCTGTTTCACAATTCATTTTATTATTTTTTAAAAGATTTATTGATTTATGCATGCAGAACTGGGGTACAGGCCAGAGGTGGGAGAGGTGAGAGGAATCACCAGAGATAGTAGGCAGCAGAACAGGCAAATTGGCTGAAATACACTGCTGAGGGGAGTAGCAGGTGAGTCAGGAGAGGTCTGACACACCTGTGGTCACCTCCCTGGCCGGGAATCAAACTCATACTGCAGTGGCTGCAATAGCTGCATGGTGCTGTGCTTTAACCCATTGTACCACCAGGGAGGCCTCTGTACCACAATTTAAATAATTTGCTTCTTGTCAGCCTGGTTTCCCCTATGCCACTTTTTAAATGTTACTTTCTGGGCCTTTCCTTGTGGTGCAACAGGTTAAAGCATGCCACTAGGAAGCTATCACAGCCACTGCAACACTAGTTCGATCTCTGGGCAAGGAGGTGACCCACATGGCGTGGCAGACCTCTCCTGACCTGCCTGCTGTTCCCCTCAACAGTATGTTTTAGTTAGTCTGCCTGTTCTGTTCCCCAGTCTATCTCTGGTGAGTCCTCTCACCTCTCTCCCTGTGCCTCTGGCCTGTACCCCAGTTCTGTATGTATAAATAAGTAAATAAATAAATATTTTTCTAAAGAGTTATTTTCCATGTTATATTTGTGATAGTCACCAAAATATTGCACCTGTAATGGGTCTGGAATCACTGTCTGTCTGTGTCTCTGTGATAAGTGCTATCATAAAGATAACAGTTGATTATATTGGGCAGAGGACAAAACTCTGAGGACATAGAACTCAAAGCTGTTGGGGTGGTAGGTAAGCCATTGAAGGAATTAAGTAAGAAGAAATTAGAGTCAGGGATATTTTCTATAAACAAGGTGAGAGAAATTGTGGTTTTTTTTTTTACAATCTAGTTATTATTAGTTTGCCAGGGCAACAAACTACCACAGACAGAGTGGCTTTAATAACAGTAATTTATTTTCTCACAGTTCTGGATACTGGAAGTCAAAGATTAAGGTGCCAGAGGTTTTTTTTTTTGGAACTCTCTCGCTACAGGGTCGATCTATACAACCTGATTTTAGTTTAATGATATTGTTAAAGTCCTGTCTCCAAATACAGTCATACACACACACATATGGGGTGTGTGTGTTTGGACATCAATTTAGGAGTTTGGGATTGAGACATTAGGTCAGCCTATAAGTTACGTGTTCAAACTAGGGTTTTATAATCTCAACATTGCACATTGTGTCTGGATGACTTTTTGTTGTGACAATTATCCTGGGCATTCTAGGATGTCTAGCTACATCCCTGCCTCGAACCACCACATTCCAGTAACTTCTGTATAGTTGTGACAACCACAAATTGCTCCAGAACTTAACAGTGTTTCCTTTGAGTCAAAACTGTCCTAGAAAATCAAAATTATAGAAAATTTGTCAAAAATATAGAATTTATGTATTTTTATCTCTCTTGTTGGTAGAGGGTAATTTGCTCAAAAATCCAAGAGATACTTCAAAGAATTCCATCAAAAAACTTTTGAGAATCTCTGTGGTTATCTATTTATGAAAGAATATGTTCATATTCTCGTAACTTGTATCTGTTCATTTTTAACTAGTTTGGATTATTAAGCTTCCGAGCAGCACATTATCATTTTCCCATAGAAAATTGGGGAAGGATAAATGTTTGACAGCAAAAGAAGGTAATTTAAGCTGATAAAAAGGAAAATTGGTTTTGTTTTCTCTTATTAGTTGGCATTTTCTCAGTAGAGTGATTAGAGTCAAATACAGACTTGTCATTGGTAAGATTTGATGTTGCCTGGTGAGAGGTAAGAGGAAGATGTTGTTGTTGTTGTTTTAAATTAAAGGATGAAAGCACAGCAGTCACATAATCCCAGTTAAGGTTAGGAAAGGTATAACTTCCCAAGAGACAACTATGAAAGGAGGAGCCAGCACAAGGGGTTCCCCGGGTTGAGAACTAGAATGTGAGTGCCGTACAAAGACAGACAGTTAGGAGAGCCCATGGTTCTAGCAAAAACACTGAAACCGTGGGATGAGCAGGCTTAGACAACCTGGGACATATACTGGAGACCTTTTGTAGGCCAGCTTAACAGAAATACTCAGATATATTTTGAGTTAACTACCAGACAGAACCTGAAGACTTTTACTGTTAGATTATTTGAGAAATTCTAGTATCTTCTGCCTTGAATAAATCTCTACTATCCTTTCCTTTGTTGCTTATGTAGTCTCCTCTTGTGATGTAATTATAATTGTACTTTCACTGTATACTTTCTTTGTATATGTGTGATTTTGTTATAATACAATTAATTTTGGGGGGAAGGGGCTAGATAAGATGTAAATTTAAAGTTAAGAACTTGAATCAGATTAAAACTGTTGATATGCTCACCGTCACCTGTTCATTAAAATAATTTTCTCCTCTGTTTTCTAGATTGTGAAAGATGCATACCAAGAAAAGACAGCCACAGTCTTTCCTGAACCCCAAAACAAGGAAGCATTTGTCCGTTCTCAGATGTATAGCACTGATTATGACCAGATCCTACCTGATTGCTATTCTTGGCCTGAAAAGGCCCACGCAATACAGACCAAACTTGACCAGTAGTAAAAATAGTTGACCTTTCTAACTGCATTAATGAGATCTTGAAGTCTTTCATAGTTTTTAAATATTGGAATCTTTTATAATGATTCAGAATATAATAGATTAGGATAATTATGCTTTAACAATCTAAAAATGTATGGAAAATATTAGTATACTTTCAGGTAAACATACTAGATGATTTTGCTTCACTTACTTTCTGATTATTTATGGTTCTGTCTTAATTATTTTGTCCAAATTATCTATCAGAGCAACTGTACCTACTACTGAGAAGTATACATAATTTTTATACAGGGAACTAATGGGAAGACCAAAAGTAGTAATAAATCAATATGATAAGCATTGAAACCCATAATTCTTTTGTTGATTATTTTGTTAAGACCAACTTTTTTTTTTTACAAAGATAAAAATGAATTTAGGCATAGATAAATTTTTCCTAAGCAGAAGTACTTATTTGTTGCCTAGAGAAAAATAACTTCTCAGGTATTTTTTTTCCAGTAGTATGTTATATTTGTCCTTTTTGGGCAACTGAATTCTAACACTTCTATGGATGGTCATTGGTGTTTACAATGCCTTGTACAGCCTTAGATTTTAATATTCTATCATTATTGCATCTTCTTGTCACCTTTGTCCTTAGTCAGAAGTCCCTTCTACAAACATCTCTCTTTCCTCTTGACCAAATACCCTATCCTATAACTGCACACTGTTGCTGCTGGGCTTCTCTCCCCTGTGGCCTCTTTCCTGAGGCTCAGTGCAGCCTGAACGGCGAAACAGCAGAAGAGCTGCAAGAACAAACTCCGTAAGCAGAGCTGCAAGTGGAGCTGACGCCCTAAGACAAAGGAGACGTGTGCAAGGACATGGTTTTCAAACTAGCTGGGTGCCTATTTGATTGACCTGCCTAATGTCTCAATAATTAGCTCAGGTAATTAAGAACTCACCATGTCACAATAAACTAACTTTCCTCTGAGTTTGGAAAAAAGTTTTGTAGTCACTTCCCCAATATCAGAACTGGATATTATATTAGATATTAAGATATTCTAATTACCATCCAGTAATTAGAACCTAGAAATTAATGTTCATTTCAAGGTCAGCTTTAACAATTAATCATTGAACCGATGAACACAGCTGAATTTTTTTAAGTTCAGGTGCAATAACATTTGCTAATTTTTTTGGAAAATCTTCTGGGTTTGGATAATGCAAATAAAGAATAAACAAGATAAAAGTGATTTTTCTGGAAGTTGAAGGTTATATACATTGTTTCAGGTGTTGGGGTGTTTTAGGTAGAAGGGGTGGCACTATTTCTGAAGCAAGTATGTTGTCAAAAATTTCCTCAGTATAGTGATTTTGAAAAGATCCAGAATGGCTATTTCTTGTCTTTTTCCATGCTGTCTTGCAGCCTCTAACTAAATGTATATGCCTATGCAAAAGATTTATTGAGGCATAGTAAAAGTAAATGAATAAAATTGTCTATATTTTAAATTGATAATTCTGGATCTTTGCAGTCAGATCACAGGTATTAAAAATTGTAAAATATTCTAATAATTGCTAATTTATTTCAATATTTAGCCATATTTGCTGTGTATATGATACTTTCTGGGGCACAAAGATAATGAAATAAGCATTGGGTGATTATTTACTAGGTATATGTATTCCATAAACATGTGTATTTAATGTTGCCTCCATAATTCCCTTATGAAGTAGATAGTTTAAGTTCCTTGCCAAGTGCACTAGTAAGTGAACGAGAAAGACTCCAAATCCATGTTTATCTTCATAGTCTCTTTTTATTATAATAGAGTACTATCCAAAAAATATGTGAGCCACATGTATAGTTTTTTTTTAAAGATTTATTTATTTACTCTTACAGAACTGGGGTACAGGCCAGAGATGCGGAGGGTGAGAGGATTCACCAGAGATAGAGTGGGGAGCAGAGCAGGCAGATCTACGAAGTACACTGCTGAGGGGAGCAGTGGGCGGGCCAGGAGAGGTCTGCCTTGCCATGTGGATCTCCCCTGGGGCAGGCGGGAATCGAACTCATGCTGAAGTGGCTTAAGCTTCTTTGTGCTGTGCTTTAACCCACTGCGCCACCAGGGAGGGCCCGCCACATGTATAATTTTTAAAGGCTTTCTAAAGGAAGAAAATGGTGGTCATATTAATACATTTTATTTAAACCAGCATATCTGAATATCATCATTTCAATTTGTAATCAATATACGAATGATTAATGAGTATTTTCATTCCAATTAAGTCTCTAAAATTCACATATTTACATCAAAGTCATGAGAACATAAAGAATAATGGAAATAAGGCAGGAAGCTCAAAGACATCTTTCCTCCCCACACTGAATATTTGACTTACAAAGGTAGTATAAAAGTCAACACATAAAGAAGAATGTTTAGGAAAATGATTGGGGGAACTGTTATACCATGTGGAGGAAGTTAAAACTGGAATCTGTTACACTATAAAAAATTAAACTTAAGCGGAATTAAAGACCTAGATATAAATGGTATAAATAAAAAAGTCAACAATAAATAATGTAACCAGAACCATGAGGTAAAAACTTAATGGCCTATTTGATTTATGGATGGGAAGGTTATAGCTGATGATCTATAGCAAATATTAAATAGTGTAAAGGGCATAGAATTTTAGGACAGTGGAAAAGGATAGTTGCTTTAGAGAGATGGATTTGTTTAGGCTCAGAAGCTTAAATCCTCAGCCCAAGGTAAGGTAAAAAACTAGAAAAGTGCTTATTTGTGCTTAAAGAATCTCTTTTTTCTTATTAGCTATAGGCTGAAATAACTGAAAATCAAGGTCATGCTTAATCCTGCTGGTTGCCAAATTTTATCAGGAGGGTAAATTTATCACCAGGCTTCTTATGCAAAAACAATAATTGACCAGGAGACAACAACAAGAATTTTATTTGCATTGAGGACCTATGGGTAGGAGATTTGCAGGATTTGCAATATTATAAGCGAGGCTGGGTCAGAGCTCAGAATGGTGTACTGAAATCCATGCGTCTCTGGAAACAACCCCTTAATTCTAGGCAAACCAAACATTCATCCTTTGCTCATCAAAGCAGGAGTACTTCCTGTTCTAAAAAGGTTGTTACTGCTTTGCTCCAAGATCCTATAATGACATCACTCAGTTTACTTCCTGCTTCTCTGACATGACTGCATCTCATCATTTCTGCAGACACGATTTTAGAATCCACCATGGAAAAAGCCAGTGTTGGTGTGTACAGTCAAACCCAGAAGACGATTTCTCATGAAAAGAATTCTAAACTGTTCATTTATATTGGGAAGACAGTGGGGAAAAATGTGTGTGGTTCTGTAAATACAGTGAGGAAGGATAAGTGTGGAGTGAGCCCAACTGATTGATAGGGGTTCTCTTGGCACAGGTTCTGGATTCAGTGTGCTCTCTTGGATAACTGAAAATTAACATGCTAGCTTGTTGGTTCACTTAGGTGGTTAAGATGTAGAATTAATAATGGCCCTCATTAAAAAGAATTTAAAATGTAAGCTTTTTTTGTAAAATATTTTCAAAAATAGGAACATAGGCTTAGATTTGTCACAGGCAATCGACGGCCCCAACTCAGTCCTCGCAATCTCCCAAGAGGTCCTATCCGTGACCCTTTTACTGAGACCTTGAGAAATACATTGCCGAAGGTAAACGTAGCATTCAGGAAGAGCTTTTTCAAAACTCTTCTAAGCTGGGAAGGTGTCAGAAATGTTTTGGGCCCCTTATTTTAATGGAGATATCAAAAGCTTAGGGACAGAAGTTCAGTCCAGGAGTTAGCAACTGGAGAAGAGGTGGTGACAGTAGAACACAGGTGCAGTGGAATCAGAATAGTTTGGGTTACAGAAATCTTTGGTTGTGGCCAGTAAATCACAGGATAAAATGTCCTGCGATAATGTTGAAATATTAACGACTAGGATAGCACTGGTACTGACCAAGGGGATGCCAGTGTGAACAGCTGGTACAGCCCCACCAGTGCATACCAGTTGAATAGCAGCTGGGCTCAGCACCCACATCTATGGGCAAACCACATAGGTGCTACTCCCTACTTGTTTTGCATGACAGCCGCAGAAAAGCCTGACATGGGCCACTGGCTAAAGCATCAAGACTCACCAGGTGTGAATGATTGTCCCAAAGGGAAGAACTCTGTAGGAGAAATATTTCCAACAGCTTCCTGTGAGGCCCCACTGATTAGGATAACAATACATCTTAGAAAAGCCTTTAGGGAATTATCTGGCAGCAGTGCCAAATGAAAACAAATTTCTGGGGTCTCAGAAACTGTTGTGGTCTGTAGGACAAGTGTATGTCACAGGAATAAATCCATTCTCTTATTTCCCAATGAAGATTTAAAATGGATTTTTTTTCTTCATTATGATAGTATCTCCACACTGCTGCATAACAAGAGTTGTTCTAGCAGGAATCAAATGATTTGCAGAGGTCTTGCCATCAAAAACTTCAAAATAAGCAGGGTTTGGTTCTTTTATTTCAATTTTAACATGAACTCTGGCACTTTCAAGAGACAAATGGGTATAAAAAAAATGACATGAATTTAATCACATGGCGATTCCAACTGAGCTGCTGCTGGTCAGGTTCTGTTTCTTGCATAATCAGTGGAGAACTATTGATTTGGTCAATGTTGGCTTGTTTTCCTTTATTCCAGTCGGCAGAGAGCACCTCAAGCAGTCTGTACAATCAATAAGCAACATTATAGAATCTCCCTTCAGGGACCATTAACGCCCGTCTCACTGTCTCTGCCAGAATACAATGCTTGATACTAGTCCTGGGCCATCTCACTGTACAGGGTGTCAGTCTGATCTAACTCAATATGCCCAAAGCATCTGGAGCACAGCCATCATGAGGCTTCCTAGATACTTGGTAAGATACATCATGCTGGAGGGTGGAAAATAAGTCCCATGAAAACAAGAGTGTACCACCTCAGGCACATTTGTGGATCTCCCAGTCTGGGGTATGTTGGGCTATTGTCCTCATAGTGGAGAACAAATAATGAACTTTATTACACCTAAGGCTAAGGAAGGCTCTTCGTGTTTGATGGGCTTTGAATTTTGTGTCTGCTGCTTAAATCCACTTATAGATTAATCCAAATGCTTCCAATTTTGGGCTTAGAAAAAGGCCTCTAGCTGGGGTGGACTGCAGAAGTTCTGCCATGGGTTAAGTATTTTCTGGCAAATCAGGAGTCTGTATAAAAAAGGGACTTTTGAGCAAACCATGCTTTGCCCATTTCAGAAAAAAATGCTGTCCTTTCAGCTTACTGTTGGGTTACTTGAGACACAAAACAAATGAAAGAAAATTGTTTTTTTCATAAATATTCTCATTCAGAGCCTTTTCAAGTTCTCAGAAGAGGTTCATTGTTACCATACTTCTGATTTAACCATAGGATGATCTATCAGCTCAACTGGCCCACTCAATTTACTTTGCAAGTATTCTCAGCCCTTATCCTAACACGTAATAGACCAGTAAGGAATGAAAAGTAAAGAACGTACTTGGAGACATGCTAATAAAGTGTTTTGAAGACACACAAAATTTATTGTGAACATTCTTTTCAAATAACCATTTAAAAATATATAATGTGTACAGTATCAGCATTCTTAAATTACAAGCAATAGTCTGATTCTGACTTTTCAAGGAAAAAAAGATTTTGGGTAGCTCAAAGTGTTGAACAAACAAGCATTCAGTGGGTCAGCAATGAGGATGTTACTGTGTACTTAAGCAGCAAGAGCTCAAACCTGCCTCCAGAAGACCCCAAAGGTCACTTGATTCCAGTCACTTTTCCAAATCATAAAAAGATCAGCTTCCCAAAATAAGTGTTGCATGTATGGAGGGCCAAAGGGTGGAGGCTGGGGGCCACGGGGAGTGGTGTGTGTTCCTATGGGCTATGTGAACAAAAGTAAGTCTACTATACATAGAAAGACTGAGTCTTGAAAATATATGTGTGTTTTTCCATATATGTGTATTTCTCCCATAATTTCTCCTCTGTCATTAATAGCCATGATTAGTGTACTTGAAGGAGAAAAGTATTACTGCATGCTCATATTGGACATCAATTAGAGAAGCTTCTAAAAATTATCAGAAATAGCTACAAAAGCAGTAAAGGGTTTATAAGCAGAATGTATTCTCTTCATTGATTGAATTCTTTTTCCATATTTTAGTGCTGTAAGCTTTTTCTTTAGCTACTTTTGCCAATTTAATTATAGAATAAATCACTGTGAGTAGTTTAGGTTCATATTAGATAGATGGCAAATACTATTTCATTTCAAAGCCAAAAACTGTAATGGAGTCACATCTACTTAGGGTGTAAAAACTTACAGATGCTACCTATACTTACTGATAATATTGGGAAGATTATATGGAAATGGTCTCCTAAGCTATTGGGGAGATTAAATGGGAAATTGTCTCCTAAACTACATTGTTCTCAGTCCTGTAAAGATTAAGACATAGTGGCATTGGAAGTTCATTGTAAGCTCCCTTTGGATACAGGTGAAATGTGAAGAGTTGACTGGGGCTTGGTTAGGTCCTACACAAGGGCTTGAAACAACTGGGCAAGCTGGATCATCAGAAGAGGCAGATTCATGATGGCAGTCTTTTCTTCTAGCACTGAGGTGTGCTCTGAAAAGTGCCAACAAGAGCACAGGAGGACAAGTGGGGCACTTCTAAGACCTCATGGTCAGAAGAGTCTGCTTAATGCAGGATCTGCTGGCCTGGCTGTGTCTTCACTTTAGCCTAGGGAGAGGTACCTCCATTCTGGACATTGTAAAATCAGAATACACTATTTCATCAAACATTCTAAAAGTTCCTTTGGCACACACAGCGATGTTTGGCATCTAACAGAACGTCTCGACAAGGGGAGTGAAGTAACCTCTGTTACTAAATCTCAGCACCCAGCTTTGGCATCCGGAAGGGACGAGGATATCAGTGGGTACCTGGGTCACTTTCCCTGAATAAGGGCAGTAGTAGAGACCAGAAAAGCTAGAGAAAGCTAGTTTCTGAGAAAGCTGCAGAGAGGCAGTTGGAGGAGAACTTTTAACACAGACGACACTCCCAGAAATTCTTGGGAAGGCATACTGCGTGATGTAAAGGATTGGTGAGAACTACTTAAAGGTTTATTACCATTAAAATACACTCATTTTGGAAAAGAGTGGTAAAGCCAGAGAGTTTGGAACTTTTAAAGAGAGGGCTTTGAGTTAGCAAAATGTTAAGCTTGAATTCTACCCACACCCCCAGTAAGGCAATGCAGAGACAACCACATTGGTCCTCTTAACACTCCTGCCCTACACCCCGATACAGTAATGCACATGGGCACTCTGGCACTGGGGCATACGGGCAAAGGGCAACAGTGCCTGTAGAACACTTGGCAGACAAAACTAGAAACTTTGTGAATAAGAAAGGAACAAAAATACTAGTCTCCTTAGTGTCATTAATCAAGTGAGATAAAGAGGCTGCCAAAGAATAGTGTATCCATCTTAAATACTTTAGAGACTTTATTATTATTCCTCTGCTGGAAATTTAGGTGCTAGTTTTACTGAAATAAAAACCTCAAAATAAGGGGTTTAATTTAAAGAAAGCAGTACACATCTGTTCTTATTTTAAATGAGTTACAATTGTTCAATAATAGAACACACGGTGATCTGTGCACTTACTTGTGAAAAGGAGAAATGTTCATATTTATATGTTCAGACTAATTTGACTATTGACATTAAGTGGGCTTTGGAACCCTCTTTAATCAAATCAGCTTCACTGGTTTCAATTGACTTTTTTTTATTGTTTTACAATTAAATAGTTTTCAGTTAACACAAGATCACAGAGTTAACACAATGCCTTTACTGTCATAAAGTCAACGGGCCTATATTTTATTACCAGGGAAAAATTTGGGAGCTAGATTTTTCACAGAGGACATTGAACAGCCACTGGTCCTTTTATTTTGGTCTTATCAACATAAATATTAACTTAGTGAAGTTGTAAACATAGGCCTTTTAACTTCTTAGGAGTCAGAACTTTTGCTTTCAATACCAAATAGTATCTGGAAAACATGCTCACTTTTGTGTTTTTTAAGAAATTCTAAGAATTGGCCCAGATTCATGTGATAGTCATTCCTTAACCCATAGTCACCATGGGCTTCAAGGAGTAATTCTTCAAAAGAATGGAAAAGGCGCAGATCTTCCCCATTTCCTTCAGTTTCTATACTTTCTGCATGTTTACAGGAAATATGTTTCCAATTGGGATACCTGATTGTGTGCCAGAATTCCTCACAGTGCTCTTTGAAACCTTCTACACAGATTATACCAGGCTTTCCTGTCATGCAAAATCCTGTCACATCTAACCTTTTCCCAATGTCCAAAATTTTTTTCCTTAGGTCCTGCTGATAAATATGGTGACTGTAGATCCACATTCGGAGGAATGTGTTCTTGGTTGGCTTTGCTTGTGTAGATGGTTCGTAAACAAGTTTTCTGTTCAGGAAATAGGAGGCACTGTTGTCTTGTAGCCACTGGATGGCTGCACACACACACAGCTCACCTGGATCAAAAGTCCCTACATAAGAAGTAAGACCTTTGTTCAGAAGTAACTGCTGCTGTCTGTCAAGCTCAGGTGACCGCCCAAATAGCTGCAACGCTGCATAGGGGTAGCTGTGAGGCATGGTTACTTGCAAATCAATTTTCACCTTAAAATGAAAATCAAATAGACGTACCATAAAATCACATAAGCTGGTTTACCAATGGCAACTGCATGATTTTGATAAAAGAATAGTTATTATTGTCAAGTGGCAGCTATGTAGCAGACACAAAACACTATGTACTGTAATTTATGCATTCATTCCTTTATCAAACACCTACCATGTATCAGGTACCCTATGAAGGGATTAGATGAATATGTAACTAGAGTAACAATCTAATCTGGGATTAGATGAAGGATGGGTATGCCTAGTACAGTGGTTTTCAGTGCCTATTCTATCTGTTATGTGTCCTGTATTAGTGGATAAATGAATCAGACGATAAGAGTAAATTCATTTTCAGTATTTAACTTTTCTGTCTATATTTGTTTTCTGTTTTATGGAGCTACCAATGAAACATGCATTCACTTCCTAAGTGCCCGTCTTTTTAAAGGTGATCATTAGACTGAAAATTATGACATGTGCATACTATAAAAGTTGGATTGGCAAAATACTGCATGAATGAACATAATGGGTTTACAAGATAGTAACGTTTTTTAAATAAAAACTCTAGGCATATTTACTAGATGATGTGCATATTTATATAAAATTCAAGATAAAACAATTTAAAGGACATCCTTTTTGCTTTTAAACAAATAAAGCAAACATGCATCTGGAATATCCCCTAGTTGTTTCTTGCACAGGGAGCTTCGTGTTCCAAGTGTTTCCAGTAAAAACTGGATGCCTTGCAACAATTAAAACAATCCAGGACACTCACCTTGGGCTCCTCAATCTGAAGTGTAATCACAAATTCGATTTTTGGTGGCAGCGCCTCCCTTGTGCCTTCCAGATATCTTCTTATATTCGTCAGAGCATTAACATCTTCAAGTTTTACTTCTCCTTGGTTAGGAAACATAGAGAACAGCATTTCCATCTCCAGCAGCTGAAGCTGAAGGCATTCTTTCACAGATGCGGACATGTTGCCTCGAAATCAATCTGCCCGGAAACCTGAATAGGCCCACGGAAGCTGGGATGTCAATTTCAGCGGGGTCCAGAGAAATTTCCCGAAGGTCCCTTTTTGCGGAAGCCGTTTTGCAGGAAAGCTATGCACCAAGAGCTGGGGACACAAATCGCGATACTTTCACTCTTTTGCTTTATGTCCTGACATCTAAATCTAATACGCACACCTCCCAAGGCGCTTCATTAAAATCCAGATTCCCGTCCCTCTCCTCGCACCCTCGCTCTCGATCTAGCTCCCGAATCCGCACTTTCAACAAGTGTCCCGAGCCAGGCGGTTGCAGGTGTTTGGCAGACACCTGAGGATGCTCCGCTAGCCTGAAATCCGGGAAAGGCAAGGGTCCAGCTTCCTAAGCCGCCGGCTCCCAGGTTTGGGCGGAGCTGGACGTTGCGGCTGGGGAGGCTGCAGTGCGGAGGGGCGGGGCTCTGTGCGGACGGCTCGCGGGTCTCCGGGGCACCGCGGCCCCAACGCCAGTTGCCTAGTCTTCCTCCAAGGACCCCTCCCCGGTGGGCTCATCCCCACTACGCGAAGCCACACGGCCCCGGGACAGCATCGTCCAGCTCCGAGGACTTGGGTCCACTGAATTCTGAGGGGCCAGTCTTGGGTTGGGGTTTACGGGTAAATAATAAAATGACGTTTAGTGCGGGCGGGAGCTGGGGTCCCAGAAATCTGTCCGGAACCTAAGGCGTGTGAGATGAACCCCGAGAATCGAGAAGAGGACGCGGACAGCCGGGTGGCGCTCACGGTGGACGAGGCCACCTGCTCTGAGGCCTCAGATCTGGTCTGGTGCCCGCCCACCCCCAAGCAGGACTACTAGGACCGCTGGTTTCCCAGGAACGTGGAGCCTGACACCCTTCGAGACCCAAATTTGGAAGCGCGTGCTGCGTATCTGCCTGTCGAAGTGTTCTTAGGGCCACCGCGGGGGCCTCACCCTTCCTGGTCTTTCAATAGAAAACAGCCCCAAGCCCGCTCAGAACCCGGATCCGCAGTTCCGCAGGCACGAGCGGCGCGCGACCGCAAGGAGGCGGGGCAGGGAGGTGGACCCTCCTCTGCCGTGATTGGCTGAGAGGCGTGCGACCGGCAAGGTGGCGGGGCGGGGCGGCAGATCCTCCCCGACAGTGATTGGCTGAGGGGCGTGGCGCCGGTGGTAGGGCGGGGCCTGCGGACCCTCCCCCGTTATGATTGGCTGAGCGGTTCGCGACCGGCAAGGCGGCGGGGCGGGGCGGCGGACCATCCCCCGTTGTGATTGGCTGAGGGGCGTGGCGCAGGAGGTGGGGCGGGGCCGCGGACCCTCCCCCGCCATGATTGGGTGAGGGGCGCGGCGTGGGCCGGAAGCCACGCAAAGCCACGTCTGCGATTCCCGACCGGAGTCCGCTTCCTGGAGCGCGGCTGGGGGACGCTGCTCGGCGCGCTGGAGGCGGAGAGCAGGCTTCCTGGAGGGTGAGTGGGTTCCGGAGGTTTGGTGGCGACCGGAGCCAGTTCCAGTCCACAGGGCTGGGTCGACTTACGGGCTTGTGGGCAGTGTGCATTCTGACCTGCGAGCCTGCGCCGCACACACCCTCCCGCCGCGGGGCGCTGGGGCGGGCTGGCGGGAGGTCTGGCGCCGGGGGTTCTGGCCGCCACCCTACCTGGGTGCAACGGGTCTCTGGTTGGAAGGGGAACGAAAGAGGCTTTGAAAATTGTGGTAAATGAGGATACACTTAATTTTTCGCGCGGACGTTGTTTGGATTTAGAAAATTGACTTCTGATAAAAGGATTCACATATTCATTGAAAGTTCATGACCTAAAACGCAGTAAAGGGCGGAGGCATGTTGTTGTGACTTTATATTTTGGGGGATTTAACAGGACTAGTTTACGCCCTATGAATAATCAAACTACATCACCAACTGGTCAGTTACCAATGTTTTCAAGGTTGTGAAAGAGATTTAGTCACTTTGGACAGAATTAAAATCACCTTTCTGAACGCTAACTTTTCCCAATGGCACAAAAGCAAACGTCCTCCATCATTTCCTTTAACTTTTGCCCACTGAAGCAATGAAAGACAATAAAACAGGGAGGGTATTGAGGCTGACTATGGACTTTTGTTCAGCTGTTGGCTAATTGGTAGTGGAACTGACCCAGAAAGTGAATGTGTATAGTAAGTCCAGTTGAGGTTGGAAACCGCTATTTCCTCTTGAAATTGGAATTCCCAGAAAAGGAAGAGCTAGTGGGCGGTGGGCCATTGTTTTATTTTTAAATAAAAGGAAAGTGTAAAAGGAAGATGTTGCCAGTTGTAGAGTTTTAATTTAGAAGAGTGTCCTGATCCTAATGAAAGTAGAAAATCCGCTGCAGCTGTTTTAGGAGGTCTGGGCAGTCTTGGAGTGGAGGATGTTGCCTTGCATTTTTCTTTTGGGAATAGGTTTCAGAAGCATGAGAGGACTAACAAAAGAATGTCACAGACTTCCCAAATAGTTTGGATCTGTCCTCCTAGTCCACTTGAAGGCCCCCTCTTAAGTATTTCCATTTGTACATGAAGTGTGTTTTGGTCTTTATAGGGTAAGTGAATTAATCAGGCTCTTTGCACTGCTGGCATCTGTGGTCTTGATTATGCTAGTGCAGGAGGTACTTGGGATCTTGGGCTTGGGGTACAGGTGCTTGATTGTGGATGCCTGAAGCGTGGTTGTGGGCATGCATGAGTTGGAGCACCTGAGCCCAGAGGCCAGGGTTATATAAGGGTGGTGTCAGAGGCAAGATGGAGAGAACTCCAGAGAGAGCCAGAGAAAGAATAATTAAGGGGGTCGTAGTGGGGGGGAATGGACAGCCAGGCTGGCTGCCAACCAGCTAGCCAGTTTCCCTGCCGAGTGTGCCTGTGTACCTGGTTCCCTAATGGAGCATTAAAGCCTGAAAAACCCACTGAGGGCTCCGGGACTCTCCTTTTTCTATTCTCTTGAATTGAACCTGCCCGAGCTCTGGAGCCAAAATGGAAGATGATTGGAGACAATCTGATTTTTGCGTCCATTCAGCGCTGGGATAGATTGTACTGCTTGGGTAGGATCTTAGAAGGTAATGCTAACCCACAGGCCTATACTGTCATCTTTTCTTGGTCAAACAGGGTTCTTTTGGGGGAGATTCAGAGTGGGGCAAGCCTGTTTGTTCAAGGTGACAATAATTGAAGCAAATGGTGCTTGAAAATTTGCTTGTTAAATTAATAGTAATCTTAAGCTAAATTAATTCATACTCAGTTAATTTAACCAACATTAAATGAACATTTCTTTATTTTGTAGATATGGATTTAGATGCCATTACCAAATGCTCATCATTGCATGTCAAGCCCAGTGGACTCATTCTTCAATATGGGACTGCTGGATTCCGAACAAAAGCAGAACATCTTGATCATGTCATGTTTCGAATGGGATTATTAGCTGTCCTGAGGTCAAAACAGTCAAAATCTACCATAGGTGTCATGGTGACAGCATCACATAATCCTGAGGTAATGCTTTTAGTACTTCGATAAGGGAAATCTTTGCTTTAGAAACCTGTTTACAAAAATAAACCCTAGTGTCTGGGCACTTTGACTCAAAGTACACATTCTAATTCTAGGAATATGCTTTGTTCATAGGTCCTTTGAATTTGAAACCATTTTTGTTTGATAGTAGTCATTTATTAGTGACTCCTTAGAGGGTGTGGAGAGAATGAAATGAGATGGTCATATTTTGGAGAGGATTCATTTTAGAAAAATAACAAAATGTTCTTCCAAGTTGTAATAAAACAGTATCAGTAATAAAAAGTGCTACTGTGTTAAACTTAGAAGATTAAAGAAACTGGAATCGGTAAGTGGGAACAGGGCAAGTATTAGAAAGGATACCACATTTTAAATTTTCAGATAGGTTTTCTAAAGCTAAGCTATTTTCTTTTCCAAATGAACAGCCAAACAGTTGGCTCCAGGACACAGAATTGTTTTTTGCACTGAACATCAATGAAGCTGATGGTTTTTGTGTCGGTAATAATTAAATTTTTATCAAAGTACTCCTTTGACACAAATCAGCTATTCTGCACTGCCTGTAGATTGCTTATATGTGGTTTGAATAATATGCTGGGGATTAGATTTGAGCTAAATCAACTGCTAGTTAAATTATGTAGATCAGTAATAGATTGTAACTTTCTCATCCCCCCTGCAAAGAGGAAGACATCGCTGGTCCAATGTCAACATTTGAATCACCATAAATGTGAATATGTCTAATTGTCAGAGCACTGTAACTGGTTACTTACGTGTAGGCAAAACCCCACACTTCTTGCTAGTTCCAGAAATACTTCTTAAAATGATTCTGAGCTGTTTGTCCTTCAGTTGACATTTACTTTGAGCTACACTTTTCTCTGTCCAAGGGAGCAGAACTGTCAGTTTTCTGCTTCTCTTCTACCCACCGGTTGCCACCTGACCCAGATTGTTCTTAAGAGTCCAGAGTCATAGCAAGAGGAAACTTAGGTGCCATCACTATGCTCCACTTGTGCCCCCATTGGTTCATTGATGTGAATGTCAGGACTACAGCCTTTTAGAAAAGCAAGTACAGCACCATGACTTACAGAGTGAGGAGTGACATAGATTCAATTACAACACAGACATTAGCTGTATGAACATAAACAGGTTGCTGTTTTCTTGAGCAAGATTGGCAAGTAACAGAATTAATAGTTAAACTGATACACATGGCATCAGGCCTTGCTAACGAGTGAAACACGTAGTCCAGACACCAGCCTTCACGATTAGTAACAGGTGAGGCTGTTCAGCCAACTGGCTAATTGACTGTTTTTCTCTCTTTTTTTTTCTACGTGCCAATGACTGTTTTTCTCTTAAGGAAGACAATGGTGTAAAATTGGTTGATCCTTTGGGTGATATGTTGGCACCATCCTGGGAGGAACATGCTACCTGTTTGACAAACGCTGAGCAACAAAATATGCTGAGAGTATTGATGGACATCAGTGAGAAAGAAGCTGTGAATCTGCAACAAGATGCCTTCGTAGTGATTGGTAGAGATACCAGGTGACCAGTGCACTGGGGAAAGCAGCTTTGGGAATCAGATGTAAATGACGGCAGCAGTTTTGGTGCCCAAGACAAATTGAAGGAATGAAGTCAGGTGGAACTGCCCTGGGACGCTTCTTACCTGCATTAGGCGCTAAATCACTACTGCACCTTGGGTTTTGGAGTCCAGACCCCAGCTCTGCAACTGTATGAGTTTGGCTGCTTTATTTCATCTTTTGGGACTTCCATTTCCTGCTCACTTCTACAGTGTTGATGAGGGTTTACAGGGGATTTTGAGGATTACCTGAAATAATGTAGGCAGAATACCTCTTTTCTGGCATGAGGAAAGCATTTAGATGCCTCCCACCTTTTTTCTTTAGATTTGCTTCTTTTCCCTAGAGAGTAAGAACACTTGATTCTAACTCTTTTTAGAGATTTAACCTGTTAGTATCGGATCATATATTTCCTATATTTCCATCATTTTCCTAGATTGGATTTAACTAGAAAACATTGACCAGTGATGTTATTTCTATATAGTTAGATTTTACTTTCCTTTACAAAAAAAAAAAAAAGGGGGGGGTGCCTTCCAGTGGCCTAGATATTAAGTCTTAGTGTTATCATTGTTATTGCCTGAGCATGACCCCCAGCAAGGGGACTAACCCATATACGGGACCTCTCCTGTCTCACCTGCTGCACCCCTCAGCAGTGTATTTCAGAAGATCTGCCTGCTCTGCTCCCCCTCCCTTCCTTTCAGCCTCCATACCTCTGGTCTACACCTCAATTCTTTATGCAAAAAAGAAAAAAACAAAACCAAGAACTACTTGTAAAATGTTAGGTCAGATGTATACTTTTTGAAATATAAACTTTCTCCTTTGCTTATGATCTGGTTTATCCAGAGGTTTTTTTAAAAAAAAAAATGTTAAGATTGATTTATTTATGCATACAGAGCTGGGGTACAGGCCAGAGGTACAGGGGCAGTAAGAAGATTCACCAGAGACAGAGTAGGGAGCAGAAGAGGCCAACTGATGAAGTACACTGCTGAGGGGAGTAGCGGGTGGGTCAGGAGAGGTCTGCTGCGCCATGTGGGTCACCTCTGGGGCAGGGATCGAACTCGTGCTGAATTGGCTTTAGCTTCTTCGTGATGTGTTTAAACCTGCTGCGCCACCAGGGAGGGCCCTACAGGAAATTTTTACTCTGTCTCCTAATGACTTGGACTGCTGTTTTATCCTTAATATGTTTCCAGAGGTAATTCCATACACCACTGATTGGAATTTATAGGGAGGTAAAGTTCCATAAGTAAGTCAGATGTCAGGTGACTACACTCTTGAGCAAATTATTAACCTGCAGTAAAGTCATCCAGGTGTATTTGTTTCTTACCTGTTAACTAGTTTAAATTATATTTAACATCTTTTTTTGCAGTGCATTTACACGATGATTTTTATTTTTAGATATTCTGATTTTTTAAAAAAAAATAGGTCCTGTCCTTGGTGGTCTCATACCTACTACATCTGCACTGTGCATGGTGTGCACATTAGGGGTTGACTTCACTGGTTTTAGGTGGTGTGTATGTTAGTATGATATAATTAGTGCACCCTTTATATCTCTTTCCTAAACTTATTAAGTCAAATCATTCCAAGAACTATATTGTGAAAGGCTACTGAATATGCTTATAGTATACTAATATTCTCTCTTCAGAGTTTTCAAAGTTGATAGGATTCAGTGCAAATGCAGCTAACTTAACCAGTGTTCTGAAATTTGTAGCCCATCATTTTCTGCTTTTATGTTCAGGTCTCGTGACTGTTGGTTTCAGGATGGAAAGTATTTTTTTCTTTCTTTTCCTTCGTAGGCCCAGCAGTGAGAAACTTTCCCAGTCTGTAATAGATGGCGTGACTGCTCTTGGAGGTCAATTCCATGGTATGCTATTGCCCTGACTTCGAATGAAGTCATTTTTTAAAAACTTAAATGACTAAAGTAGTAGTTGTTTTAGAAAGCTTGAACATACAGCTAGACTTTAAAACATGAACCAGGTATACTATTAAATTTAAAGAAAAAAATTTTTTTTCTGGACATGCATTTATTTTACCTACAGAAGATTTTATGTAAGAAAGTCTGACCTTTAACTTCTTTATACAAAAGCCCTTGAAGTTACTTGATGAATCTCATTCTGGGAGGCTCGGTCAATCCTAGGTATTCCCTCATCGCTGCTGATGGGTGGAATCAGTTACCTGTCAGATAGTGATGGGCAATGTCTTAGTCCTATGTGTAGTCACAATATTTAAGTGCCAATAGCTAGTTATTCCTGTAATCTAATGAAGAATTAACTACAACAAAACACAAGGGAGGCTAGAGTCCTCTTCTCACGTTGACTGCCCATTGTGAGGGCAGTGGTTCCACTGTGCTTGGAGGTGAATATTTTCCGAGTGTCAGTTCTTACTAAACAAAAAAATCCTCTCGACTCTTTCGACCTCCTTTCTAGCCCCTCTTGTTTTCGACCTTCACAGTTAACCTGGCCTCTTCTAAGAGCTTGTTCCTTGTTTATTCTTACAATTAGTTAGTATTCAGCTTTTTCCTTGCCTCTCCACTGAAGTCTCTCCCTGACATTTAAATTTTACTTGCCTAACCCAGTCACTCTTATTAACCTGCAGCCCAGGCCCCTGGAGAGTGTAGGGAAGCTGCAGGGGACCCTGTGGGCCTCTTCAGACAGCCACATGAGCTTTGTAAGGATAGAAAGGATTGCTTTTGTCAGTTACTCATAGGGATTTGTTACCTGAAAGTAGCTTTCAGACACTGTACTCTAAATGTCTGTTTCACTGATGTCTTAGTAACTTTCTTACTGTAACCTCCCATTCTTTAAGCTTCTTCCTTGGCTACTAGTCTTTATTTTTATCTCTGCCATCTCTCCCAGTATGGGCCTTCCTCACTTCTGTCACTGTTCTTGATTTATGAATGATCGACTTTACTGCCATAGCTCTAGCTACATATATATTCTTTTATCTACTCATTCATCATTATGATAACTGGCTGTGTTCACCCCTCCAGTCACCAGTTTCACTGTATCACAACTGCTAGTGAAAGACATTTGGTGACATGGCTATTTGTGATTGTATTTGAAACCAAAATGTCAATGAATACTTCGATTTCACATGCTGTGCATTTATCTGTTTCATTAAAAAATGGAGAAATGGGCCCTCCCTGGTGGCGCAATGGGTTAGGGTACAGCACTGCAAGCTAGCCACAGCTGCTTCAGTGTGAGTTAGATTCCTACCTCTGGAGGTGACCCGCATGGCGCAGCAGACCTCTTCTGACCTGCCCGCTGCTCCTCTCAGCAGTGTACTTTGTCAGTCTGCCTCTTCTGCTCCCCACTCTGACTCTGGTGAATCCTCTCACTGCACCTGCACCTCTGGCTTGTACTCCAGTCTGTATGCATAAATAAATATATCTTTAAAAAAGCAAATGGAGAAATGCTGGAGACTTGGACCACTGACAGGCTAGGGCCTGCAGTTTGTAAAGCACTGGTCTGAGTACTGCCTCCAGGGAGATAACCTGTCCTGTCCCCAGATTCTCTGCCCTAGACTATTCTTTTTCCCATCCTCATTCATCATTTTGTTCTGTCTCTTAAGTCATCACTTTTCAAATTTTTCAGTGTAGAAAAATTTGAGAGTAATTTTTTCTTTTTAAGACTAAATATATCCTTATCATATTACCAAACTGTAATATGCAGTTGTGATGACTATAATGGAGGCTTGTGCATATGGACAGCCTGAAAGGTAGTGTCTTGTGTTTCCAAGAATGTATGTTTTTAAACATTATTTGTCATCCTGAAAATCCCACTGTAATCCACATTTTTATTTTTTAGGAAATGTGATAAATTACTTTTTGTACTTGTGACAGATTATGGCTTGTTAACAACACCCCAACTGCACTACCTGGTGTGCTGTCGAAACACCAGTGGCCAATATGGAAAGGCAACTGTAGAAGGCTACTACCAGAAGCTCTCTCGGGCCTTTCTGGAACTTACCAAACAGGTAAAATCTCTTATAAATGGTTGGAGTTTAGGCAAATGAGTAAAGGAACATGATCACTTCAACAGTTTATCTTAGTTTTTTTGTCACTGCTCCTTTTACTTAAAGGAACTGTGCATTTCCTTTTCTTTTTGAGATTGCACTGTGGACTGGCCCTCGTATCTGCAGCTGGTTGCAGCATTGACTTGGTGCTGTTCACTTGGCTATAGTGCAGCCTGAAGTGTCACTAGGGTGAAAAATAGGATGTTCTTGCTTATGGCTCTGATAAGTACTTATTTAACTGTCTTCGGTCTTTAAGGCTGTTGATGTTGTACTGGAGGCTTCTGTTGTTGAGAAAGGGAAATTTTCTTTTTAGGTATATTAGCTTATTAAATTGGAGTGAGATTTGAGGAGTATAATTCCTTTGATCAGCAGACATAATTTTATGTTATTGTCAGGCACAGCTAACCAAAATGAAGCCTGTCTTCTCATAGAGTTTAAATTCTGGGGTGAAGATTGGTAGAGAGGACACTAATAATTAGGAAACAAAACACATACCTGAGGTGGTACATGCTATGAAGAGAATGGCAGATCATTCCTCCTGTGATAGAGTACATCTGATTGTGTGCACCATTTTGTTTCATGAGTTAAAATAGATGAGTTCATGGAAATAATGGAAATTTGTTTAAATGTGTATATGCTTTATGGTTCACTCTTTTGTAATTTCAGTTTTTTTTTCTTTCACATCTTTTCCATTTTAAGGCTTCCTGTAGTGGAGATGAACGTAGATCTCTCCAGGTTGACTGTGCCAATGGCGTAGGGGCCCTGAAGTTAAGGGAAATGGAGCGCTACTTTTCCCAGGGACTGTCAGTACAACTTTTTAATGATGGAACCAAAGGAAAACTCAATTTTCAATGTGGTGCTGACTTTGTGAAGAGCCATCAGAAACCTCCACAGGGTATGTGAACAGTTTGTTTTTAGAACCCTTTGAAACCAATTTCATTTGCAAACAGAGGTGACCACGTGAATTCTAGTCACACAGCTGGTTCGGGCCCTGCCCCTTTTAGACATCCAGGCATCTTTCCATTTGTCACTGCCATTCAGAACATGGTGTAGTCCTCACCCTGTGTAGGAAACCTAGTGGGAGGAACAAAACCTGAAAATGGCATTCTAGGGCGGTGGTTCTCAAACTACTCCTGAGGTTCTGATTCTCTGTCTCTATAGGACAGAGATTTGTATAGGATAGAGATTTACATTTCTATCAAGTGCCCAAACTTCATTGACTGTGTGGTTTTGGAGCCCACACTTAAGGACCATTGATCTAAAGGACAGCAATAGTAAGAAACATTATTTTTCACAATCTAGACACATGGTGGAAAGAGAATTTAACTCCTTAATCGTAAGTAAGCTGCTGAGGGGAGCAGTGAGCGAGCTAGGTCTGCTACACCACGTGGATCACCTCTGGGCGGGGATCAAACTCTGCAGAAGCAGCTGCATCCAGCTTGCAGTGCTGCATCCTAACCCGTTGCACCACCAGGGAGGGCCAGTAAGTGGATATGTTTATACTTAACACAGAAGGCCAGTTATGATAGGCTTAAAGGAAGATCATTTTCCCCTCGTAACTAATGTAAGAAAAAACCCTAAAATTTTTTATATTGGGTTTTATTCCCGTTTCTTAGACTGAAATGATTATCAAACTGTTCTCTGTGCTAGGAATGGAAATGAAGTGCAATGAGAGATGCTGTTCCTTTGATGGAGACGCTGACAGAATTGTCTATTACTATCATGACACTGATGGTCATTTTCATCTCATAGATGGAGATAAGATAGCAACACTAATTAGCAGTTTCCTTAAAGAGCTCCTCCTGGAGGTAAGGGGGTGAGTGGGTGACTGACTGCTCTTTAAAAATAAGACCTACTGGTGAAGTGATTCCATGTCAGTCATTGGAGTGTTTCAAAGGCATATTTTATGGGAAGTTGGTTACATTTGTGGCCAAAATGCAAAATGTGTAATTCTAGTCATTTCAGCATTGGAATCCAGTTTTGGAAGCTAAAGTTACTTTTATTTAAGTTTTGGCTTCTTCATAACTTGACACTGATAAAAGTTCACCATTAATTCTGCAAAGCCTAGATAGAAAATTTAATTATTGGAGAGATTTATGTACTATGATTATGATGAAACATGAAAGGTTTTGCTCTTTTGAAAAGCTTAGGTTATCTTTTGTAAAATCTCAAAAAGTTCTTTAGGTATTAAATTTTACTAAGTAATTAGGGACCAAGGAGCTATAGGCGTCTTTAAAAAGGTTTGCTTATAAAGGATTTTTTTTTTAAAGATTTATTTATTCATATAGAGCTGGGGTACAGGCCACAGAGCGGAGGGTGAGAGGATTCACCAGAGTCAGAGTGGGGAGCAGAAAAGGCAGATGATGAAGTGCACTGCTGAGGGGAGCAGCGGGCGGGTCAGGAGAGGTCTGCCTCGCCATGTGGATCACCTCCCGGGTAGGCGGG